TTGGCTCTACTCACTGTGAGGAGAATAAAAGCCTCCTCTGTTTTCTTTGGACAGGTTTTCAGCACTCGTAGCATGGTTTATCTGGAAGGAGCACTTCATGTTTCTCCATGCTGCAGTAGACATCGTAGACAGAGATGCAAGTATCTTCACTGGTGAAGGACGGAAACTTAGGAAATGCTCTCTTCCACCTCTCTTTTAGACCAAGACATAAGACAGAGCTTGGGCTCTCCCCAGCCTCCCATCCTTGACCTCTCAGGAAGTCTTTGATCTCCAGATTCTTTCTTTCACAGGACCACAACACGCAGAAAGCACCTCTGGCTGTCTCTGGTCCAGCACCCTGACAGCCTGGATCAGTTCATCAGCACCATCCTTGGACATCCCAGACCTCACGGGGGTCACTGGCCCTTGTTGAACTATCTGATCGCCCTCTCAGGCCCTGAGCAATCACCTGGAGCTATGCTGGAACCTTTATCAAGCCAATACTAGAGAAGCAGGCAGGGAGGGGACTGTGCCCACTTGGGTCATCCTTTGGGCCCTGCTCACCTGTGGCTCTCTGCTGGTTCTCCACAAAAGGTAGTGCTTGAGGCTGCCCACAGAGAATGCACAGAGAGAGACAGGCACTTAGAAATAAAATCTGTACTAATAATGATTTCTGAGGTTCTCCCTCCTCCATCTTGGTCTTTTCCATGTAGGCAATTCTGTATCTGAGAGGAACTCAGAACTGCACAGGACTTAACACACCTCAATGGCCCTGTGTACCATTTCAAAAGGGCCACACAGAGGTGTACCTGCCCGGTGGCTGCTACTGATCTACTGATAGAAAACCAGTCCTCACTGTAAACACACATTTGATGGAACACCTGACCTTCCTCTTCCTGGCAAGCGATTTTCTTGCCCTAAGTATAAATACATTCTTTAGAAATACATAAATGCGTAACTTCAAACCTGCTTTGACACAAGCAGGACTCACAAGGAAAGAAACCACAATGTGGCCCCAGCGGACAGCTTAAATATCCAGAGTTTTATCTGGGTCCCTTGTTCAAGCCTGGTGTCCCTTGCACACGTGCGACGAGGCAGCAGTCGCAGTTGGGCTCTGAGGCCATACCGCTGCTGCAGCACGGGGTCTCTAGTGTTTACGGATTTCTTAACACCTTTAATGCTTCCAGGCAATTAAAAGCACCGTTTGCTTTCAGGCAAAGCCTAATTTGCAGAAAACATCAGCTTGACTTCAAGCGACATTAGGTTTTGCCAAGAAACATTATGACTTGTTGGGTGCCCCCATCCTTCGCCAGACAGGACAGCTCCTGGCTGATCCCCACCACTCCCATGGGACAGGGGTTACGTGCAGCAGGCTTTAGGCCCCACATGCTGCAGGGCGCAGATGGGAGAAGCCTTTCTGAAACAGCAGCCTTAGCCTCATTTGGACAGGGAGATTGCCGAGGCTGGGAAGCAGCTGAAGGATGCTGATGTATTTAGCACTCAGATAACTGCTGCTTCTGTTTAAAATAGCAGTTCCCAAAGCTGGGCATGCCAGCTCGCAGGGGTCAGGGGTAGTCCTGCCTTGGGCCAGCCCGGAGCAGCGCAGAGCAGAGCTCACTCAGGTCGCTCTCATCATTCTCCTCGGGCTTGCTGCCGGAGTTGGAGGGGTTGCTGCTGGGCAAGCTGTGGCCAGAACCTGTCTTCAGAAATGCTTGCCCCTTGGGGTCCATGCTCGGCGCCGGCACACCCTGGAGGCACATTCTGCCTTCACAGGCAGTTCTCTGGTAGTCTGGCTGCGAGGAATTCCTCTGGCTGAAAAACTGCCCCAGCAGAGATTTCTGGAGGGTTGTTAGCAGGCTTTCACAAGTCCTCTGCTTTGTGCTCAGCTGGGTATAATGCAAATCCAACTGCAGGACCACATCCATCTGGAAGGAAAGAGCAAAGGATGCAAAGTGAATTGGACTCTTAAGACTCGAAGCAGAGATTTTTCACTCTTGCTGCTGCCAACAAAAATGACAGACTTGGCTGGCTGTTCCGCAGGCTCACAGCTCCATGCTGTGGCATGATGGAGAAATGCCACTGCCAGATGAAACTGTTGCATCGCTCATGACGTTTGTGGGCCTGAGCCATGGCTTCTGGATTTCAGGACTTCTGAAATCAGGCCACCTCACTTGAGACCTCGTAAGCCCGCTCTGGGCACTGTCACTGAGAGCACCCCCAGGATGCTGGCACAGGGAAGCAGGAGGGGAGAGAAACTGCACCCAGACCAGCTGCACCCACATGAGGAATGGCACAACATTTGTCCTGGCCATGGCACAGGACTGCTGCACATGTGAGAGGAAAGCATCCAAGAAGAGGGACATGAACCACTTAAAGAAAACACACATGGCACAGTAAAAGCCAGCAGCTTTAAACAGCAGCACTCCACAGGGATGCATTTGCAGTCTAGCACTATTTTAGATTTTTATGAAAGATGGTGAGGAAATCAGAAAAACACCATATTCATGGCAGCTAAATCCTTGACTGTGAGCCCCTAGCATGGGGCTGTTCCTGAGATGCCTGGCTGTACCAAGCAGGGAGGTGTATAATGGAGCAAGAAGAAGATTTTGGCAGGCAATGCAGGGTCCGGGTCTCATGTCTGCACTTAAAAGCAATGCTGAATGCTTGGGAAGGGTTCAGAAAAGAGCTCCAGGAACAGTCAAGGACTGAAAGAGCTGCCATATGCCAAGGCATGTCACGCACTCAGCAAACGGAGCTCGTTGTAGGCAGATCCAGACAGCAGCTCGAGAGCAATGTTCAGTGTGAGCCTGTGTGGAGCACAGCAGATAAGCAGCTGGCAAGATCCACTGGCTGGGTATTAGAGGGGAAAAGGAATCAAATGAGAAACAAGGTGCACACTGATATTTGGGGAGAGAGAATCTGCTGGAAGAGACGAGCCAAGGGACTAGCAATTCTGCCTCTCTGATGGTCTTTAAATAGTTCGAGAGTCTCTTGAACTGTGCCAAAGAGGCATAGCTTGGATCAGGCTTGGCAGTGTCACCCTGATGGCAGGGGATAAACCCTCCTGCTGCTCGAGGTTCTGGCCAGCGTGTAAGCCCATCTTTCAGGCAAGCACACAGCCCAGTGAGACATCCTTCATCTGAAATATTTGGCCTGGTCTATCTCCCCTAGGCTGACACAGGCAAAGAACAGCCTCTCTGGCCTGGCAGCATGGAAGGACAGAGAGAACCAAGAGAAAGAAGATCGTGTTTGTGCCTTGAAGATCAACAAGCTCATCTAACATTGATCTGGATGTTATGCTGACGCAGGTGTCCCAGTGCATGGATTCACAAGACACATGGTCAGAGGGGCACATCCAGCTCGAGTCAGTGGGAGTGAGGAGTAAGAGTTAAGTGAGGCTGCAGGAGAACTGCGGAGATTTGCACAGATCTCTACCTGGATTTTCTGTAGTCCAGAGAGCTGAAAGACACAGTCCAGCTCCTCCCGCTTGTACACAGAGGCGAGCAGAGACTCCACTTGGTCCAGACGGCTCTCATTCAGGACGGCCATGTTGTTCATCTCCTGGGTCAGGAGAACAAGAGGAAATGCAAGGTAATTTCAGCATCAGACTGGGCATGGAGGCATAGCTGCTCGTCAGACATGCTGTTTCTCTGCACACAGCAATGCTGGGATGGCCTGTGCCCTTGAGACTTTGGCTGGTGGAAATGCTGCATAAACTAATGGAAGTACTACAGAGTGCAAGCAACAGAAATGCAGAGATTTTACACACCTGCCTTGTGCATATCAATGGGAAGACCTAGCTAAACATCCCCTGAGGGCATCTACCAGGAAAACCGTGGTACAATGGGATTTTCAGCAGTGCAGATAGCAGCAGTAGCAACCACCAGTAGCATAGGCAGCATGTTGAGGAGAGAGTGTTTTCTGAGGGAATAGCTGGATGAAGCTGAGTTGTGCCCCCACCATCTACAGAACTGTCAATTCTTGTTCTATTACTCAAATTTATCCAAAACGGCTTTGATCCTACAAGACCCTCTTCACTAACAGTCTTATCTTGGAGCTGCAAATAGCACAAGAACAGACTAGGGAATAGGTGCCTGATGAAACAGCATCTTGCTTTGGATTTGAGCCCTTTAGGATAGGTGACAGCCCACAGTCCACGAGCCCCTTCCACGCAAAGATGCTTCCCTCTGTCAGCTCCAGCAGCTCCCATGGCCCAATCCTGCCAACCTGCTTGGCCAAGGGTAGAATGTGCCAGCCTGGCTTTGGCCATGGGAGCTGGGACGCCCGGGTGGGCTCACTGCAGCAACACATAAAGCTGATGGCACGTAGGGAGGGCTTATGTTGGGAGAAGTTGCACTGCGTGATGAAGGAGGCTGTTAGGACAGTGCAGGGAGGCAGAGGTTAGAGAAGACCTGGGAGCTCTTGGTAGTCTTTACAAACCTTCCCCAAACCGCTGCCTACAAGGGGCCAAAGCAATTTGTTTCTGGCCAGGAGAATACGTGGGGTAGAAGCTAAAATGCCAGATCCTAAATGCCGACTGGGACCTGCAGGCATCAGGGTCACTCCTGCTGGCAAGGCTGGCAGAACAGGAGTAAACACCACTGCTGATCCAGTAGGCCCACTGGAGGCAGGCTGAAGAAATACCACTTGTCTCTGCATAAAGCAATGGCAATCCCATCTCCGCACTTGGCAACCCATTACTGGAAAGATAAACTGGGGGGTACTTAGGGAAGATCGGGGCAGCGAATGGAGCTAGCACAAGGGGAGATGGGTGAGCCAACAAGGGCAGGACACAGCCCACAGGGGCATGGAGCAGCTACTGCTGCCTCCCACCAGCCCGAGCAGGACATAAACCAGGAGACAGGCCACAACGCAGAGCAGCTTCTGCAAACCAACACTGCCCTCTCCTGCCCTGGCTCATTGCAGCAGGCACCTGCTCCCAGCTACCCCGATGCCATCACTGCTGTACTGAGCTGTCCTGGTTTTGCTTCGACAGAGTTGGTTTTTTTCTTTTCCCCATAGCAGCTAGTAGTCTGTCCTGGGACTGATACTGGCAACAGGCCAGTATTGACATTTTTTGAAGGTTTGTTTTTCAGTCTCTATTTAAACAGGCATTCATAGTTTCCCTTGAGGTTTTTTTTTTTCCTTCTCTGTGAGGGGGGAGCGAAAGCCCAGGAGTTTCTGGGACAGGTGACCCAGGACATGAGCCCAAGCAGCCAGGTTAAACTGAACCTGGACACAAAGCAGATCAGCCTGGATGTCACTAATGCAGGGCCTTGGCAGGAGGACTGCGGAAAGAAGCAGAGCTGCCCCACTGCCCCCAGCCAGCTCCATCCTCCAGCACATGCTTAGGGAAGGACAGGACTTGCTGCCAGTCCTCCCCAGGGTGAGCCTGTGCTGCCAGCCTCCTGCCACAGGAACATCAGTGACCTTCCGAGTCAGAGCTGGTGCCCGTGCTTTCACTAGCCTTTAACAGACTCTTATGAAGATGTCAAAGTTATTTTTGAACCTTGCTAGACTTGTAATATCCATGACATCCTAACCACTAGGAGGAAAACAGTCCATGGCCAGAAGTCCTTCTCATAGTTACCCCACCACTAGTCCCCTCTCTAATTCTTATCTGATGATGCTGTAGTGCTCTCCTCCACCCTTCTCCATAGCTGCCTCATTGCTGTCTCCACACGTCTCTTGACTTCTGCTGTCCTGCCTTCCTCTACATCCCCACACCTGCAACCTCTCCAAGTGTGGCTCCTTCAGGGACCCATCAGCCCGTCCAGGCTCGGGTTGTGCCACGATCCCTTCTGTCTCCTTGCAGGCATGGATGTGCTCTGGATCAGATGACTTCCAAGTGCCTGCTTTTGCAATTGTGTTAGCAGCCTCTGCAGATGCTGTGAATCTTCAGTGATTAACACTGCAGCTGGGTTTATGCTGGCAGGGCAAGCATGCTAAGATCTGTGCTAATGCACTGAACTCTTCTCTCAAATGTCTGTTTATTGCTCTGCGATTTTCAGCCCCTCGAGGCCGGGCCGCTCTTTTTTTAGCTTAAGAAATAGCTGGTGTGCTACAGACGTGACTGGCACAAATGTAACAATATTCCACCACAGGTTAAACCACAGCTCATGAAAAGCCAAGCAGCATCAGGAAGTTTGGATGGCGTGAACCACACAGCCTCCCCGAGTGGGACTAAGCCAGTCCCAAGCCTTGAACATCCAAAATAGATGTGCTGTTTCTCTCTGGCACAGACCCGAGACCAACATGAAGCCAAGGGGCAAATGTTCAGCACTGTGGGGAAGTGCCCAAAGTCCCTTCAGCATCCATGCAGGGAGGACTTCTCAGCAGCCAGAGAGATTAATTGACTAAGTGACTGCATCATTAAATGCTTTTGGATTCAACAGCCAGCCACGTGCTGCCAACCTGCTTCTGCACACCAGGTTAAGCCTGGGTCATGTTCCCGAGGCCGGGACCCTCACCACCAGGATGTGGACTAGAAGACACGATGTGGCCCAAACAGCACAGACTTGGTGACGCGTGTCACACCTGATAAATGTGTGTCTGGATGCTCTAAGGGATCCACGTGGGTGCTGATTCTGCAACACCCTTGGGCATAACCCCTCCCAGACATTCACTTTTTACCATGAAAATGTCACGTCCGCTCTAGATCTTCCTTACTGCAATTCAAACCATGGCTTCCTTCCACGTTGGAAACTACTTTTTATGTATTTGAAGGCCTACTATCCACCAATTTTGCTTTTCTTGCCTAAACCACAACTCTCTTGATCCTTCCTTTTATCACTTTGGACGAGCTTTAGTTGGCTCCATTTTTTCCATGAAGTAGGGGCCTAAAACTGGACCCAGCACTCCAGCCTCAGCAACGGTGAGGAGAGCCAGAGAGGACCTCACACAAATCTTGGAGCTCTTCTTTACAACCTTGGCACAGTTTTCTGGCCTCAGATTGCACCTCCAGCTTATCCAAATCTTTCTAAAATCTAACCCTGCCTTTTAGCGCCTTGCAGAGATGCCCAGTGCTATGGCATCTGTGTATTTAATAAGTGCGTGCTATGGAGCATCGCTGAGGTCTTTAGTGAAAATAGAAAACAATCCCACAGCCCTGGTTTTCCGAAAGAAACAACATACTCAACCACACTCAGAGCAGGAAAGTCTCCTCTTAGTTTTAAATGGAATTTCCCGTGTTCCAGTTTGTGCCCATTGCCTCTGGTCCTGGCACTGGGCACCACTGCGTAGAACCTGGCTCCATCCTCTTTTCAAGTATTTATGTACATTGACGAGATCCTCCTGAGTCATCTCTTCTCCAGGTTCAACAGTCCCAGCTCTCCCAGCCTTTCCTCATAGGAGAGATGCTTCAGCCCCGTTGTCACCTCCACGGCCCTTCGCTGGGCTCTCTCCAGTGTGTCCATGTCTCTCTTCACTGAGGTGTCAAGAACTGGACACAGCTCTCCAGATGGCCCCACCAGTGCTGAGCAGAGAGATCATCTCCCTCAGCTTGCTGGCAACACTCCTCCTAATGCAGCCCAGGACCCCATTCACCTTCCTCACTGTGCAGGCACATTGCTGGCTCACGGGCAGCTTGGTGCCTACCAGGACACCCAGGGCCTTTTCTGTTGACCTCCAGCTGCACCTGTCCATGGGGTTATTCCCCATGCAGGACTTTGCACTTCCTCTTGTTGAACTTATCAAGATTCCTGTTGGCCCATTTCTCCAGCCTGTCCATGTCTCTCTGGATGTCAGCACAACCTTCTGGTGCATCAGTTGGTTTTCCCACTTTTGTGTGAGCCGCAAACTTGCTGAGGGTGCCCTCTGCCCCATCATCCAGATCACTAATGAAGATGTAAACCAGTACTGGCCCCAGTACTGATGCCTGGGACTCCCCATTCATGGTCTCTAGCTGGACTTCATGCCATTGATCACAACCTTTTAAGTCTGGCAGTTGAGCCAGTTCACAATCCACTTCAGCACCTACTTATCTAGTCTGTTATCTCATCATGTCTATGAGGATGTTACAGGAGAGAGTGTTGAAAGCCCTGCTAAATCAAGATAAACAATACCCTCTGCTCTCCCCACATCCACTGAGCTGCCATTTCAACCCAGAAAGCTGCATCAGACACGGCTTCCCCTCTGTAATCTATGCTGACTGCTCTCAGTGATCTTCCTGTCCTACCTGTGCCTGGAAATGTCTTCAGGGACTATTTGCTCCATCACCTCCCCAGGGATCAAGGTGAAGGCAGGCCAGCCTGTAGCTCCCCAGATCTTTGCTCTTGCCTTTCTGGAAGGCAGGAGTGACACTGACTTTCTTCGAGGCCTCAGGAAGACCACCATGAGCTGATGGAGAGCGGCCTCACTCAGCTCTCGTGAGTGCATCCTATCAGGTCACACAGACCTGTGTATGTCCAGGTTGTTTCAGTGCTCCTTGATATGGTCCTCCTCCGCCAGGTGTAAGTCTTCCTTGCTGCAGACTTTCCCTCTGGTCTCAGGGACCAGGCAGTCCTGAAGACCGAGGTGAAGAAGGCATCAAGTACCTCAGCCTTTTCCATGCCCTGTGTCCCCAGGGACCCTGCCCCATTTAGCAGTGGGCCCGTATTTTTTCTTGCCTTCCCTTTGCTGCTGGTATACTTGTAAAGCCCTTCTTGTTTCCACCAGATTCAGTCTTGGATGGGTTTTGACTTATCTAACCCCATGCCTACATGCTTGAACCATGTCTCTATAGTCCTCCTACATCACCTGCCCCTGCTTCCACCTCTTGCACACCTCCTTTTCATGTGTGAGCTCAGTTAGGAGCCCCCGGCACGTCCATGCAGGTCCCCTGCTACCTTTGCTTGACTCCATGTGCATCATGATCCTTGAAAATCCATCAGCTCCCCTGGACCTCTCATGTCTCCAGGGCTGTCCCCCACAGGAACACAGCTTTCCAGCCTGATGACCTTCAAGACATTCCCCTGAGCAAGGAGCAACCTAATCTCAAGAGATCAATTAAAGTCCTAGCATGTGAGATTCAAAGCTCCTTGGCTGACAGCAACTTGTTGTCTACACAAGTATGTGTACTCTGCTGAATTCCCAGCCTTGATAGCCTCCTGTGCCAATGACTTCCACAATCTACTTACAGTGGCAGTCGATTATTTCCTTCCATTAGTCTCTTTAATAATTTCTGGCTTCATAGGAGCCAGGAAACAGAGAAAAGAGTTCTCTAAATTAGATTTTTAGTCCATTCATAATTCTTTATAAACATTTCTCCATGGTGGAATGTGTTTCTTAATGAAGATGATGCCCAGGAATTGGCAAGGTCAGAGTTTTGGCTGGCCTAGAGTTTCAGATATTCTAAATAAACTGGGGAAAAGGTGACTGCAGAGGCCATTAGGTCAAACGGCTCCAGATCAAGTGCCTTGCACACAAGGAGATCCAAAACAAAAGTTTTTTGAAAGTAGGTGTTCAAACAGTAGAGAACAAAAGATGGCATTGTCTTAGCTCTCAGCATCATTCCTTTCTACATAGGTCCTCTGTCTCTGAAGACAGTACTTGTCAAGTAAAAATGCAAGCCAGAGAAGACACAGGATGGGAGACAATGGTACCACTGGACAGCTGAAGAAAATGGATCAGTGCTAGAAAATCCCTTCATAATTATCTCTGGTAAGCCCTACAGCAAGCCCAGGCTCTCTGCTTTAATTCACTTCTATATGCAGAATACAGCAAATGATGGGAAGAGAGCCATTTCCTCAACCAAGTGGCTCCAGGGGTTCATTCCCCAGGGCTTACAACATGCACCTCCCTTTTAGCTTGTTTTTGCTGGGCTTCAGCCTCCAGCTCCTGTATCTCAGGTGTGGCTCAGACAGTCCCCCAGGTCCCCTCAGCATTCCTGAGCAGGGCTGGCACACTGAGGTCGCAGCCAGCTCACCTTGACCCCAAAAGGAGCCAGGTGCCTGCCTGTGGACACTCGTACATCGCTCTGTGATCCTCCAGGCGGGAGTGGGTAGCTTCACCGTGCGTGTCCAAAGTGGTGAACGGCAGTGCGGGAGGATGTGCTGCCACCTCAGCAGACACCACTGGGGGTCAGTGTGAGCTAGCACCGCCGTGCAGCAGAACGGGGACGGGGATCCTACTGCTCTGGCTACACTCCGGTCCCTTTTTGGCCTCCCTAATCCCTCTTGAACCAGCTCCAGATGCAGGAGCAAGCAGCTGGGTTCCCCTTTCCCTGCAGTCACTGATGTGGGCTGGATGCACACAAACACATGCAGACACACACACACACGATTTTCATGCACAGTTAGGGAGCTCACGAGGGCAAGCGATGCTCCGGCTTGGTAATGGGCAGGATCACGCTCCAAACCTCCCGCTGGATGCACCGTGGTGCATCAGTGACCACAACGTACTTAGGGGCAGCATCCCTCCATGAACAAGGGTCAAAAAATCCACCACAGTCATGCTACACTTCAGCAAAGGGACTACAGAAAACAAGGAAGGTGGTTAGCAAAAAGAAGCAGCAGTGAAATCCTTAAGAGGTGGCATGGAGACCACCAGAAAAGACCGTGCTGGGCCTGTGATCCATTAGGAAAGGTGTGAGAAAGGGTGCGAGGAAGCTGGTGTGGCTCAACTGGGAACAAGTACAGGAGGATATCCTGTTTCATTAAAATAAATTAGCACAGTTGGCTAAGAAGACATGATCCAAAAAGCCAGATCTGCTTCCAAACACAGAAAACAGAAAGGCTCTTCATCTGAATCAGATTAAAGGCAATAATTTAATCAGGCAGGCCAGAGATTGGTCTAAGGGGTAACTGGTTAAAGGCATCAAAACTGGATTCAAATCCTTTTTGCGGTGCACTAGGAGCAAGGTGGACAGTCTTGGGGTACTGATATGTGGAAGGAACACTCAAAGCGGTGTTTGCAGAGAGGATTTTTTGCACCAGAGGTAGCAGAGAAGGGAATCCTTTTCCACAGCTTTTCCTAGCCCCTGGGACCCGTCGGGCTCACCATAACCCTCCTCCCTCCTCCACCTCAGGGAAAGGAGCCTGGAAGGAACTGAGGGAAAGGGGACCAGCATCTCTGCCAGAGGACTCACGGAGGGCTGGCAGAGCAGGAGATGGCCATCAGCGACGTGGGCTGGGAGGGAACGCAGCTTGGCACACACGTACATCACGTTGGAGAAGAGACGGCGGAAGCAGAGCTCCACGCGCGCCCCACAGGGGAAGGTCATCATTCTGCTCCGTGGCTCTGGAAGGAAAAGCCCAGAGGGGTCAGTGTCTGGTAGCCCTTGGCTCCTCAGGGGGTCCCACCAACACCTCCCTGCAGACCGGTGTCCCTGAGGGGCGTGGAGATCCCTGGCCCCCTTCTCCCCCATACCCGGTAGCCCACTGCGTGCCCTGCATGGTTTACCATGGCCGCATCCCCAGCGCTCCGCAGCTGCTCCCGAGGGGCAGATTGGGTCCGTCAGGGACCGGGCTTCCTTCAGCGTGTGTTTGATCTCCATCACCTGCTTTCCAGTGACCAAGGGATCCCGGCCAATGTCTGGAAAAAGAGATTTTGGAGGCACAAGGGTTGCTCCAGGTTCCTTATTTTTCGCCCTGCCTTTCAGACCCTACACAAACATCTCTGTATCTGCTGCCAGGTCACTAAAATCTTGCACAGAGCACAACTTTCAGTTTAGTTTTTAGGGATGGATGGCTGGGATAGGGTGGTGCAGAGCCACTCAGTTTTTGCTGATATCTCTTCTCACGCCTGCTACTGAAGCAAGTGGTTTCTAGCTCATCCCTTACCTTCTAACACATCGTCCAGCATGTGTGTAACTTTCTTCTCCTGCAGAATATGTTTCTTCAGATATTTCATGAAGATTCCAGAGCTGAACGCCCCATCCTGCAACTCATAGGCTTCTGCATCTTCGCTCCTGCAAGAGTAACAACTCGCCCTCACCTTTCTGTGATGTGAGTCAGGGCCTGCCAACTCCATTGAGACTCTTGGCTGAGTCTGAGTTAGCTTCTCATGCAAAGGTGCAAAGTGCTTGGTTTTGGCCCAAGAGAGGGTGGGTAGGGTGTGGGATGGGAAAAAGCAGCAGAGGGGGACAGGAGAGGAAAGTGCAGCCTCTTTTGCCAGCCTAGGAGGGTAACAGCAATTGAAAAGCTAGTGGAATTAGCACTGGAGCAGCAAGCAATGGTTATCCACATCTCAGGAGGCTTCAGGTTACCTGCTCATAGCACATGTGCCTTGGCAGTCAGGCTCAGGCCTGGAAGGACAGACGACAGGAGCTCTCTCGAAAGCAAAAGCCAGAGGAAACATGAGAGAAGCCCTCTCAAGCCTCCAAAGTCACCATGCACGAAGGGATGAGAGAAGCTGTGGTTTGCCAGCATTTGGTCCTGTGTCAGACTGTGGGCACGACAAAGAGCACTTACGTGGCATAGCCGTAAACGGTATTGCCCCAGGGCTCCAGGGGCTGTACCTGGGAGAGGGCACACTCTGGGTTGTACCTGGAAGAGAAGATGAAGTCAGTGTTGAGGACACCTGCCAGTGTGTGCCTGGAGGGGACAGAGCCCATGTGATCCACCAAGTCCATCTCCTATGGATGACAGTAAGATCAACCCTCATGTCAAATATCACCCACATTACTTGGGCAGCAACAGAGGCTAAAGCTACGAGTCCTACAAAGAGCCCAAACCACAAGGAAATGAGTAGACGGGGCCAGCTTTGACCTATCTGCACTGCTGAGCTGCTCCCTGCCCTGCAAGTGAGCCTGGAGCTGTGGGTGCAACCATGACTCCTCCCTCCTGAGGCTGGCTTTTAACAAATCCAGGCAGCAGCACAGTGCAGAGCACGTATGAGCTCACTGTGGCCAGAGGGACAACTGTCCCTAAAGGTCTTGGTGGTGTGCACATTGCATGGCCATGGCTCAACCTCCTGTTCCTGGGGTCTGGGGTACCCCGCAGCTCCCTTCCCACCCATGCACACACCTTCTGCCACAGGAAACCAAAGCATGCTACGGCTGATACGCCTCCAGATCTCACTTAGAGATGGGATCAGGGCACACACCTGGCTATCAAAGCCCATGGTGAGCACAGACCCGGCTATTTCCAAGATCAGGTAGATCCGGGGTGACAGTCCTGGTTGCCACCGAAAGGTATCATGGTTGCACTCCATGGCCAAGCTTTGCCCATCTGACTGCAGCCAGACTCAACAGCGTGGGGACCAGCTGCCCCCAGTTTACACCAGGGACCTGGAGCTGTTCCCAGTCGCAGAGGGATAAGAGCCAGGCACAGAGACAGCGTTATTCGCTGTTACCCAATTTCAGCACACATTCCTGGGCTGAAGCTGGCGTGCCAAGGAGAGCAGAAGGGACGGTTGTATCGCCAGCAGCCAGCGCATTACCTACTGCTGGTGGCACAGTCTGGAGATGTTTAATGGCAGTATTCATCTGGCTTGTGTAAGTTTTCTAAAGATGATCAGAAGAGAAAAATGTGGAAAAGGAGATACACTTCCAAATATGAACACTGAACAGAGATTTGTCTGCCCCTCAGCTACTCCTAAATGAATGCAGGCATCTGGGATTCCAGGTCCGAGGAGAAACGAGACACAGGATCCCAAAATAAAGTGAGGTCCTGTTGTCCTCTTGCTGGGGACATCCACCCGGGGCTGTGCAGACATGGGTTGATGCCAACTTTTTGTGATGGCACCAGCAGGCATCCACAGCTTCAGGAAGACGGGAGCCTCACGCGTGGAAACAGTGGCCGTGGTCCCCGGCCCTAGCCGCAGACAAGCTTCAGCAGGGGCATTTCCAGATCATGACCAAACACAGGGACAGACCTGACAGTGGAGGTGGCAGTGCTCCGTCCTGCTTCAGGCCCCCCAAAAATCTCATTTATACAGCACATCTCATGCAACCGAGTTTCAATCCACATCCCAGATAGGAGATGGTGTCCTTCTGTCTTAAATGCCACATGCTAGAAATTCTCATAAATCAGGGAGTGCCTGGAAAAGGCAATTGCATCCACCCAAAATCAGCACATAAATGTACAATGCTACACACAGGCTCCGTGTTCCTGGTTCCTCCTCTGCTGAAGCTGAACATCTGCTACCACTTGGCAAAGGACGACATGTTTCTCACGGGCTTGGCATTTCTGATGCTGACATACGGGGTGAGGAGATTCTCTGGGTGAGATCCCTCTTAGCACACATGCACCTCCTCCCAGTTTGTGCATGGCTGAGCGAACCATCGTCAGACTCATGGCATCAGTCCCACCAAAAGGGCATTGGACAAGGAGGCCCCAAGAGCCCTGTTGTAAGGAGCAGTGTAAACACACACAACTATGAAATCCATACTCTTTGGTGAGCTGAAATGGTGACTGCTCAAGAAAAATGAGCTCAGGAAAGAGCTTCTACAGCAATCCCCCGCAAGCCTGGTGATGACACCTACTGCACTAAGTGCTGTGCTTGCTGTGGGAAAGAGGGGGAAGATGTGTGAGTTCTTGGGGTGGGAGAGAGAAAACCAGCCGCACATCATGCCTAAAAATCGCAGCAGATCTCACATCACATCCTTTTCCCAAAGCACCATCACTGAGCACAGAAGCTGCTGGAGACCCCAAGAAAGGAGACATCAGCTCAAAAGCTGTTTTACAGATTGTCACCATTCACATTAGCAATCCCTGTGCAGCCTTCATGTTGCTACGCTGCCTCCCCATCACAGATTGCCCTCAGACGGGCTACTGGCAGCCCAGAGGCACGCTAGCCCATCTCCACCAGTGCATCCACAAGAACCACATGCTCCTGCTCGGCCGCAAGCCAACCCCTACCTGGTACTGCGCTGGGCAGAGCAGCAAGGTGCTCCTGCTTGTGCTCGGGGAGTACTCGGGAAGCAATTCGCTCTGCTCTCAGCAGCAGCAATGAGCGAGAGGGAGGAAGGGGATGCTTCGCTATGGGGCATCTAGGGCAGGTACAAAGGGACAGCACGCCCCAGCAATTCTGGCAGTGCAGAGCCATGGCAGCAGCATAAGTCCCAGTGCAGCCAGCTTGTAAGCTATTCAAAATCAGCGTTCCCTCCTCTGCAGCAAAAAGACATCAAAGATTTAGCATCATTCCAGGGGCTGGCAGCTCTTTCAGGGCAGCGGTATGAAAATCTCTCTCGACTTTCTGGTTCTCAGTGCAGGAAACACAGAAGGAAGAGGGAGACGTTTCTATATTTGCCCTCCAGGACTTTTCTGACCTGTAAATCTGCCTCAGGGGACCAAAATAAATAAACTAAAGACAGCTTCTAGGGGAAGTCTACCTATGTCTGATGAAAACGGGCAAGTAGCAATTTTATGCAGCCCACAAACTGTAGGATAGAGATCTTCAGGACAGGATGATGGGCTTTTTGCAGACAGAGGGGAAAAGCAGCAGCCTGTGTCCCACTTCACAACATGGGGCTGAGGCTGGCAGCTGTTTCCTCCAACCCCTTGAAACGCCACACTCTGCCCATCCCAGGTGAGAAAGGATGAAGAGCACCCTACCATTTCCTGCAGGTGTCCAGCAGGATGAGGTTCAGGGCCGTCTGCTGCTGCTGCATCTTCTGGAGGATCCTCTGCACACTGATGCAGTTCTCAGGGGCGTAGGGTTGTGGAGCATCAATGGGGACCATGTAGTTCCTCCCTGAATGTTCGTACCCATGACCAGCATAGTAGAATATAGCTGGGAACAGGGAGAGGAGAGGATGAGTCGTGATGTGAACCTGCAGGTCTGTAACAAGCTCCCCACGGTCATGTCCCACCTCCTGTCCTGAAGGAATACTGGTGCAGGGCAGACCTAGACCAGTAGCACCCATGAAACTGGAGCTATGTTGACCTCACAATTTCAACTTTTTTCCAGTCCATTCCCTTCAGCAGAGTTGGAAGCAGCCCTGAGAGACTTCCCGTACTTGTGATTACCACACTGTTCATCAGGAGACCCCAAAGTCACTGGGTTTACACATTTCCATAACCCTCTGTGCTACGACACCCAAGCGTGGCATCTGCCAGGCTGAGTACCATCTTTACACAAAGTTTCAGTTAATCGCTGCCTCTTTGTAAGAATATGACAACCAAGTATTTTACCATGATGAAAAATACATTCTATGATTCTATGAACAGCCTTTTAAATGAGAAGCTCCTCAGCTTCCTGGTTTGGCAATGGATTAGGTGATGGGAAACACTCTCCAGCTTTCAAAAGTATGCCTGCATTTACACACCTACGAGCTGGTGAAAAATGAGATGACAGAGACGGAGAGAGATGAGTTCTCCAGATGCCCAGAACACACGGACCACGTGCTTCAACAACCTCAGACCAGATAAGGTGTTTAATTATTCTATTATACAATATAATAAATAACCATGTAAGGAGGGAGAGGAGTCAGATTCACAGAATATTGGGAGTTGGAAGGGACCT